CGCAAGGTTGGTCAGGTTGCCAGAGAGCACCAACTAGGCGGTGAGAGTCGGGATTGGATAGGAGAGCCTTGACATCAATTGGGTACGATGTCATGTATTACGCATCACTACCGCTTTACATCCCAATTTTAACTTAAATCTTCAAAAACCTCATAAAGATAAAACAGGAACAAGGGCGCTCCAGAATATCTTGTAATTTCACCTCAGCACATATTTCCCATATCCTATCCCATATCCAGATTTCGGATAATATTTTAATAATTGAACAAGTGGAAGGGAAATCTTTTTTCTACTCTAGCATATTTTAACAAAGAACTGTGTTATAGTCCTTACCACGAGAAACGCGAATGAGTCATTGCTTGAAACTATGCGAAATAAGACTTGGACGTAGGACTTAGATTACAGCACTTTTTTAAGAATGGGCAACCAAATACACGTAGAGTATATGTTATAGTGATAATGTAAATTTAGATGTTACAGATATCAACAAAGTTGCGCCCTTTATATCCACTACTATAACCGAAATGCAGAATTACCCATAAATGATTCAAATTAAACTTAGCAAGCAATTTCCTTAGTAGTGGCGGGTCGGAATTATACGCCCAATTTACAAAAAAGGAGAAAGAAAATCTCTTTCAGAGGAGAGCGTCAACTTTTCACCTGTATTACGGATAATAAGAGACTAATTGAGAGACTAAGATATTACAGTGTCTATGATTGAGAACTTCCCTAACGACAAAAATTCACGAATAGGCTACGACAAACCCAACACAAAGTCATAATTTTTATGCACATATATTTAAATTAATATTAGAAATTAAACAAAAAATGTTTTTAGATTGTTAGGATCCCATCCCAATACTTACACTTTCACTAAAAGGCTTACTGAACTTATCGTGAAAGATATGGGTGATAAAATTCCCATTATCATAACAAGACCATCTATTGGTAAGGGTACAACGTTTCATTAAAGCATAAACGAGAATCTTGGAATACCAACTTTATACGGGAAAGACACAAAGATTGTTATTCCAAAAATTTCGTTTCGTTTCACACTAATATTGTATCATTCAAATGATATTAAAAAAAACATTTTAGTTATGCCTTCACTAAGAGAACCTATTGCTGGTTGGGTAGATAGTTTTAATGGACCAGTAAGCTTATTTTACGCATTTGGAAAAGGAATTTTAAGAATAGGGCTAATTGATGACAAAAGTGTTCCACAAATGATACCGGTTGATGTTGCTATAAATACTTTAATTGTTAGCGGATACGAACGGGCTACAAACGTGTAAGATATATTTAAAAAATAATGAATCTATCTACTGTATGTTTTATACAGATATTCCCCAAGTGTGCTTAACGTAACTATCGGTAACGTTACTACCCCAACTTGGAGCGATTACTTCACTAGGTGTGAAGATTATAACTGGGAACATCCATTTAAATTAGTTTTATGGTACCCCAAAGTCACTTATACAAAGTCTTATTATCTATACATGATCCATATGATTCTTTTTCATATCATTCCAGCGCTGGCCATTGATTTTATGATGATTATATTTTTGCAGAAACCTTTGTAAGTATCTATAAAATAAATATAGATAAAAATCAAAGTAAAATAAATTATTTTTTATGAATTAAAGCTTGACTGCCATTCAGAAACGATTGCTACAGACTTTTAATGTTTTGCAATGCTTTACACTAAATACATGGTCGTTTGATAACACCAATTGTATACAATTAAACGAAAAACTTGACGATAATGATAAGAAGATTTTTCCTATGCTTGCTCGTTTACAAGGAATAGAATTTGAAAATTACAATATTAATAATTGTAAGACATCGGCCAAATACTTATTTAAGGAACATTCAGAAAATTATTCTATTTACAAACTGCGTAATAAAATGTAAGTTGAGAAGAATTAAATTATGAATAACTTTTTAATGGACATTTTTTTTTCAGATTGTATCTATTAGATCTGTTGATTAAGCTGTGTTTTATTTATGTTGTGTTAAGGTGGGTTTTAGGAAAATATTTTTAGTTATAGAAAATGAAATGTTAATATAAAACATTACCCTTAAATTACTAATTACGTCTAATAAATCGATTTTATTAATCTCGTTCGTCATAATTATTATACCTTCAAAAAAGTCATTAACACTACCTGGAGATTGTAGATGGATCAAAGCAAAAACCATTGACGCATATTTTATCATGTAACACAGCAAAGGAAATGTGGACAAAACTAAAAACCGTGTATGACACCTCCTACAGCAAAGATTCTTCATACTCGAATTCGACAGCACGGTGAGTACGTTTATGTCAAAAGTAGAAGATATAAACACAAAATTAAAAACCGTGGGCGAAGAACTTCCAGAAAAAATGATAATGACCAAAATTCTTATGACAATACGGTAGGATTAGTGGGTGAGGCGATCAGACACAAAAAGTAACTAACTTATTACTTGCAATATTTCGAAACTTTATTGTTTCTTCTACAGGCAATTACTAGAAAAAACCACCGAAGTTACTAACATGAAAAAACAACTTTTAAATTTACTTACATCATACTTAAATTAAATCGGTTTAGTTGAAGTCCATCAAAACAATTCTTGACTACTCATTAAGACCAAAAAAGCCACAATCATTTGATCATTACAAAATGGGTGAAAGTTAAGAACTTAAAACGTGTATGAAACGATAAATGCGTCGAGAAACAATTTTTTTGAACCGGTTAAACAACTTTGCGTCTGCGCATCATCCACCAATCCCAAACGTCTAACGCGGATGAACAAAAATAAACAAAAACCGCCAATTTTTAAATTTGAACTTAACAAAACAAAAAGAAAAAAAAAATTTNTATTTAACTTAAATTCATCGCCACTCGCTTCGTCCCTTAGCCAATCCCTACATGCTCAATCGCGCGCAATGCGCACCGCCTGGATTGAGTACCAACCCACCAGTGTTACAAACTTAAAATAATGAATGTTACTAACTTAAAAGTACCAACGTGATCTGATTGACATTTAGTACATAATAGTTTTTTCTCTTGAAGTCCTAGTTCATATGAAAAATAACAAGTGGGTGTTCAAGTAAAGTACCACTTCCAGTTATGTGACTTTGTTTTAATTTAGATTTTAATAACTTTTCATCGTTTTGAAACCTTACACGAAATTATAATAGATTATATGTATATAAAAATTATATAACTAGCAGATAAAGTACCACTTCCGGTTGATGGGTTTGGCTTAAATGTTGAAACGGATCTGCTATTATAATCCCATACCTATATACCAAATTTNTAAAATTGGCTAATATTGGGGTAGGAGAGTTTTTAAAAGAAATAATGGGGCGAATAGATATATTGTCTTTGTGCAATTTTAGAAGGGAGTAAAGTCTAGGAATGGAGGGATTCATATACATGAACATTGAACTATTGAAAAACATTTTGTTATTACTTTGGGAATCTTTTAAACTTTTTAAGTATGGTGTGTACTCTATTAAAGTCTCCTTGCAATCATTGATTATATGCCGTGTCTTTTTAACAAAACTATTCAAGGGGTCAAAATTAATTTTATTATAATTATTCTGCTTCATAAAATCATATGTTTTATCTAGGTATAGAGATTTATCCAAAATAACCACACCGGCTCCCTTATCAGCTTTAACGAATATGGCATCGCCTTCATCAAGTTTTTTTCTGATAGAATGAATAATGTTCCAATGTTCATTATGACTTTTATAGGATTTGTTAAAAACTGATGTTTTGATTTTGTTTGTTTTTAATATGTTCGTGAATAATATGATGCTTTCCTCGACTTTTACTGTACAAGTCTCGAAATTTGACCGTAAGTTTTTGCCATTTATATATTTTTATTTCTTTTTTGTTTTATCTCTTTCAATTTTCTTTAATTCATTTTGATGCTATTTTTCGTGCTAATACAAGAAATCTTTGTAATTTCACGTACAGTTTTCAACTGATGATGAGAGAACACTCTCGAAACTAGTTTTGAAATAAAATACTACAAGAGTGAAGTAAACTTTTTATTTTATTGAAATGACTTGCAACATGGATACCCACCATTATATAAGTAGTTTTTGTATTGGGGGTATAAGAGTGAAGTAAACATTTTAAAAACTACTTAAACTTAATACATAATTACTTAAATGACAAATGTTTATTATAAACCCTCTAAAATTTCATGAACCTCATCGGAGCAATATTCTCTTAAAATAAATTTAAAATGTGAACGTTTCAAACAGAACGCGCACCACATAGCTTTATTTTCTACTAAATCGATGAACCCATATTTATTAATAGTTTTATGTTCTAATCTTATACGTTTTTCAGTGTCTTTAAATCCGTCTTTGTTTCGGTAAAAGTCACATTCCCATACAATATGCCACTCGTAATCTGCGAAACATTCCCCACATACACGTCCATGTTCAGTTTCATAGTATGTAATCCATACACACACTTTTCCACTTTCATCATTCCCATGTATTAGGAAGAATAAATCATCCCTAAAGATTTATTAAAATTTTATATAAATTTATGCATTTTATTTAATTTCTAATTTACCTGTACAATTGTGGTTCCCTGAATAGGTCACATTGAATCTTATGATTCATTTTATATTTGAATATTTCAAACTCTATGCACTCTGTACTCATATTTTCATGGCAGTGTACGTGTGCACCCAATTCATTCCAATTTGTTTGGAACCACGTTTTCCACAAATCTAAAACTAAAGTCCATGGTAATTGTCGATGGAGTCTTAACACATCTACACGTTTTCCTATGCTTAAATTAATTTTATGAAGGGCTAAATCCTTCAATGAAGATGCATTGAATTGAGCCATTGTATTCGATGTTTACTTTCACTTGGTTTTTACGTAACTAAACTTCGAACTACTCAACTATTTATATATAGTTATAATCGTTACTTACATTCTTTAATAATTTTACTGAGAAACGGAAATGACCTTGGTTTGCGGTTATGATACGATAACGCCAACTAACGCAAGTAACTTTGGAATTGTTTTTGCATAATATTCTTTAATAATTGTTTCTAGAAACTTTTATACAAAGTATTTTTTATAACTAAAATTCGAAATACTTTGCTTTGATTTTTGTCTACGCTATTTTCAAAACTTATATATTCTTTTGTAACTCAGTTGACTACTACAAATTTTATGTATAAAAATTATTATTTGATTCTAAATTTAAATCACCGTCATAATGTCTTGGACTGACTTCCATCTTCAACTGAAACAGTGCTTAAATGCCGATTTCCCAGAAGAATTACCCAACTCGATTTGGTACTTCTGGGAATACGAGGCATCGATGGTGATAAAATAGTCGATTCACAATTTGTACAATTGTAAATATTATATAGAGAGATTGTCGAAAAAGTGATATTATGTATATTGGTAGTGATGAAAACTTTGAAGATCATCGGATATTTCCCCGATAACGAATCGGTTAAATTAATTATTGACGGTGATAGTTTTAATGATTGTTAACAAATACTATAAACAAATACTATATTTGTTTATTTAATAATAATAATAATTTTTTTATTTTCAACCATACATATTATATATATGTATATATATTATCAAGAGATAATATATATACATATTTATATCAATAAAATACAGAACTAAAACAAAATAAATGTATGGCAGAAAAAAGGTGCTGGATTCAAATTACCACAAAAGTGGTATTTGTTCTACCACCCAGCCCTATTACAAAAGAAAACAAAAACTGGAACAAAAAACAAACAATAAAAAAAAATACTCCCTCCGTACCAAAATAACTGTCCGATTTGAGATTTTTTATAGGATTGTTGAATAAACAAAAAGAAAGTTATAATTATGAATTTATTTATATACAACACATATTTATTGATCATAGTAGGTTGGGTATGTTTATGACAGTAGAAATTTAAACCAGTCAATTACTAAATTTTGGTAAAGAAAAAGTTAATTTTATCTATTCTCCGCCAAGTATAAAAATTGAAAAAAATCATGTCAGAAAATATACGAAATTATAAAGGAGCGTTGAAAAAACGTAATTTAAGCAACGAGCAGCGACAAGGTGTCTTACAATATGTGCTGAAAAACGTAAGCAATGAAAAGTTGAAACACGGTGCAATTAAGCAGTGCAGCACCAAATTCAACGTTAGTACGCGGACAACAAACCGAATTTGGAATACAGCAAAACAGGATTATAATGTCCGATCTTGTACAGGGTGGTTCAAATTCGATGTCCGAATAGGCTAACTCGGAAACTATAAGAGTTAGAAAAAA